GGAGCTGAGGCGGTGATGCTAACACTGGGGCGCGGCTGCAAATATGGATTAACATTAGCAGTGAGGTTTGACTGCACATTCCCCCCATCTTCCTCCCTCCCCCACCCCATGAATAAATTGTCTTCCATGTAACTTGTCCCTGATGCCAAAAAGTTTAGAGACTGCTGCACTAGACAATCTGTGTCACTCTTGGAGTCTACCTGAGTCTTGAGTGTAACACAAACAAGGAAGTGGGGGTGTCTCAGGGCTTGAAGGGGGAGCATTGCTGATCTTCCCAGCAGCTCCCTGTGAGCCACATCCTGGGAACCTCTTAGCCAGTGAGACCCCACTCATTTACAGAGATGCCCCAGGCTTTGCTATTGTCTGCAGCTGAGGAACTCCTCAGCAGAACACCTGCCACCTTGACAAGCCAGAGATGGGAGGGGAAAGGCATGTGTGTGGCCGTGGGCTCTGCAGCCAGCTGTACTGTCCAGCCCCACAGCAACATCTGGGCTGGAGGAGCTTTGAGCCTGGCCCTGCCCCTCTGCTGAACTCCCTGTGGTACCCCTGCCTGTCCTTCTCTGTTGCTGGGATTCTTGGGGACACCTGATCCCAAGTCCCTTTTCTGGGTGTGACTTACCTCCCCAGCTAGACTGTGACCTATCAGTAAGCAGGGACAAGACTTTACTCCCTGGTCCTTGCAGGGAGGGGGCTTTTTTGGGCACCGACACAGGCTGACCTCCTGGGGACATGGAATAGATGTTTGGGTCCCTCTGAGGGTACCACTCTGAGATGCAGGGAAGAAGGGCCCTACTGGACTCACCCTCTAGATCATTGGTCCTCCAAGCTTTTTGACATTATGGACTGGTTTTGTGGAAGACAATTTTTCCACAGATGGGGTTGGGGAGATCATCAGGCATTAGATTTTCATTGCAAGTGGCAACCTAGATCCCGCGCATGCACGGATCACAACAGGGTTCTCACTCCTGTGAGAATCTAATGCCACCACTGATCTGAGAGAAGACGGAGCTTAGGCGGTAATGCGAGCAATGGGGAGTAACTAAATACAGATAAAGCTTCCCTCGATCCCGCTCACCTCCTGCTGTGCAGCCCGATTCCTAACAGGCCATGGACCACTACTGGTCTGCAGCCCCGGCGGCTGGGGACTTCTGCTCTAGAGGGCTCCCCTCCCCATGGTGAGGAGTCTGGGGGGCTCTCTGCAACTCTTTCTAGACCACACTTGGGTACCTGGGACCCAGCATTCCTGGCCCAGACCACTCCCAGCCTGCTTCCAGTCCCCTCCCAGGTCTGAGTCCCGAGGGCACTGTCCTGCTGTTGTGCACACTCCTTGACATCCCCCTATGTGTGGCTGTTCATAGGGATGGCATGAGTGGAGCTTGGCTGGGGGCTTGGGTCCCTGGCTGTGGGACAGAGTTGGGGAAGAGAAAAGAGGTGGGCCATGCTCTGGTGTGGTTTTCTGAGAGCTCTGATTTCAAGCTTGGCCTTCCAGGGCGTTATGATGGGATAATCTGTAAAGGTAGGATGATAGCATGCATTTTGTTCAACAGTGTGTTGGCTTGATTTACATTTTTTTTTTTTTTTTAGTCAGGGTTATGCTCTGTCTCGCTGACAGTGGCATAATCATGACTCACAGCAGCCTCAAACTCCTGGGCTCAGATGATCCTTCTGCCTCAGCCTCCCTAGTAGCTGGAACTACAGGCGCATACCACCATGCTCCACTAATCTTTAAAAAATATATTTTGTAGAGACAAGGTCTCACTGTGTTGCCCAGGCTGGTCTTGAACTCTTAGGCTCAAGCAGTCCCCTTGCCTTGGTCTCCCAAAATGCTGGGATTACAGGCATGAGCCACTGCACCCAGCCATTTGCAGCGTTAAATATCCAAACCTGTGGTTTGTGGAACTCAATTTGCCCTGTGTCCTGGACTTTCTGACACTGAGGCAGGCTTGCCTCCGTTATCCCAGCTAAGTGCTTGGCCGAGTGCCTTGGGGAGGCTGCCACCTGCCCCCTACTGCCCACCGTCTGTGCTGCCAGTGCCACTGGCTTTGTACGCCACCTTCCCATCTGTGGCGAAGAGCTGGTTTTTGAGCTGGTGTCATAACACAATGCCATACAACGAGTGGCTTAAACAACAAACACCCATTGCCCACAGTTCTGGAGGCTGGAAGTCTGAGGTGAGGGCGCCCTCGTGGTCAGTTCCGGTGAAGCCTCTTTTCCTGACTTGTAGATGGCCGCCTTCTCTCTGTGTCCTCATGCCAAAGAGAGATCATCTTTTCTGGCTTCTTCTTTTTATTTATTTATTTTTTTGAGATGGGGTCTCACTCTGTCACCCAGGCTGGAGTGTGGTGGCAGGATCATGACTGACTGCAGCCTCGAACTCCTGGGCTCAAGTGATCCTCTCACCTCAGCCTCCCAAGTAGCTGGGACTACAGGCACATACCATGGCACCAGCTAATTTTTCTTTTTGTGGAGACAAGGTCCCTGTTGCCTGGGTTGGTCTGGTCTCTTTGTATGAGGGCACTGATTCCATTCGTGAGGGCTCCAGTCTCATGGTCTAATCACCTCTCAAAGGCCCCATCTCCAAATACCATCACATTGGGGATTAGGGCTTCCACAGACGAATTTGGGGGAACACACACCTGCAGTCCATAGCTGCTGGGAAATGAGAGAGCTTCATAATAATGGCCCTAGTGCATGTGTCTTGGGGCCCAGGGCACTCTCCTTGCTAGCTTCATTTCTCACGCGAGAAGCAAATGTCTGGCTCATTTGCGTTGGGGAGGCTGAGGTTTGAGTAGTTTTATCCACAAAATGGAATGACTGAAATCACCCCCTTCCCTCACTGGGCCGATCTACTCATCTAATATGGTGGCTACAGGCCTCAGAATAGGGCAGACCTGATTTCAAAATTTGACCCTTACACTGCAACCATGATCTTGGTGAGATCCTTTGTTCACTGAGCTGTGGTGGAAAATGGATCAACAGAATCTTCAGCAAAGGGTTTTTGTGTTTGAGATGATGACTGTGGAATCTTGTACTCACACTCAGGTGTGACATTGTCCCCTCTGTGGCCAAGGTCATGAGAGAATGATGGGACAAGCTTGAGCCACCAGACTCTAGGAACCTCTTCAATGTCCAGTTCACCCTGGAAACACGCAACCTTTCAGCAGGAACATTCAGAGTCCTGCTCTCGATGGGGGCCGCTCTCGGTGGGAATGACTCTGCGGATTAGGAGCTGTGGACAAAAAAGATTCATCTTTGGTTTTTCAAAACCTAGTCTCAGGCTGAGCTCACATTTCAGAAGGGGGGACTGACGCCACTAGTATCAGAATATTCTGCCACTAGCTGGAGGGCTGTCAGTAGAAGACTACTAGACAGGGGTTGAAATATCTAGGGTCTATCTCTTTGGGCTTCAGTTTCCCCGCCTGAAATGGGCTTAAACTAGGTTTCTGTGGCATTTGACCCAAGCCTCTCTCCAGGAGGAACATCTTTGCCTGGGAGTAGTATGGAGGGATCAGAACTGGGGGTGGATGGATGGTACCCCATAAAATCTCCCAGGCCAGAAGCAAGGCCAGAACTTCCAGAGACCTCCCTTCAGACTTGTGTCCACCTTTCCATCCTCCACTGCCTTGTCGCCATGGGAACCCTGGCATGGGAGCCTTGGGAGAAGGGTGGTGGAGCAGGGATGCTGGGGTATGCCCATCTTGGTCCTTCCCAGCCACAGGAGTAATAATGGGCAGGTGGCCATGGGCTAGGGTTGAGGATGCCGTCAAGGAGAGTATCGCTCCTAATACATATTACCCAATCATGAAGATTTATTATTAATAACAACCTATCAATTAATAATGGTTTGCAATTTACCGAGCACGTCTATACCCATTACTAAGCACTTTATATATATAATTTAATCCTTTTGACAACCCACTCAGGTAAGAATTTTTATCACCATTTTCCAGAAGAGAAAACATGACCAGAGGTTCAAGGTCACACAGCTTGGGTTTGAGTAGTTTTATCCACAAAATGGAGTGACTGAAACCACCCCCTTCCCTCACTGGGCTGATCTACTCATCTAATATGGTGGCTACAGGCCTCAGAGTAGGGCAGACCTGGTTTCAAAATCTGGCCCTTCCACTCGCCATGATCTTGGCGAGCTGGTGGCATCCTGGTCAACTGGGTCTTAGGCTAGTGTGTCAGTCTGTTTTGCGTTGCTGTAAAGGAATGCCTGAGGCTGGTGATTTATAAAGAAAAGAGGTTTCTTTTGGCTCACGGTTCTCCAGTTCTGATCTCTCCATACTACTCCCAGGCAAAGATGTTCCTCCTGGAGAGAGGCCTGGGTCAAATGCCACAGAAACCTAGTTTAAGCCCATTTCAGGCGGGGAAACTGAGGCCCAAAGAGATAGACCCTAGATATTTCAACCCCTGTCTAGTAGTCTTCTACTGACAGCCCTCCAGCTAGTGGCAGGATATTCTGATACTAGTGGCCGGGTAAGAACTGGCCTGGGGTCAGGGTCTCTCTGAACTTGGAGCCTGTGGGTCTGTGGTTATTTCTCTGCAATTCTGTGGCTGGCTCTGGGTGGGTCCTGAGGGCCTAGTGACAAATTTAGGGAAATATCAGACCCCTGGCATGACTGTTAACCCTGGTCCCTGGAGGAGCTGCAGCTTTTCTCCCTGGTGTTCTCACACCGAAGGCAAGCTGTTGAGGTGGCTTCTCTGTCCACTTCTGGGCTGTGTGGGGCCCCAAGTGTCCTCCTGTCACAAGTTCTGGAGGCTGGAGCTTTGAGGGAGGTCCCCCATCTGCACAGATGCCAGGAGGCATCCTTCTGGGACCCTGCAGCCTGCAGTTGGCCTCCTCTGGCACCTGAACCGACACCTCCCCACCCCGCTCCCAGCCTGGTCTTGCTCCCAAGGAGCACCCTGCAAAGAATGTGCAAAATGGTGCCCTGAAGCAGTGCCGCCCTTCCTGGCCACTCACCTACCTGGGCCCATGTCTCCGCCTCTCCCGGCAGATCTTCCACATGACCTACGACCTGGCCAGCGCTGTGGTCCGCATTGTGAACCTCATCGGTATGATGCTGCTGCTGTGCCACTGGGATGGCTGTCTGCAGTTCCTGGTCCCCATGCTGCAGGACTTCCCAGATGACTGCTGGGTGTCCATCAACAACATGGTGGTGAGCGTGCCCGTGCTGACACCCCTGCTCCCCCCCACCCCGCCTGAGGTGACGGGGTGAACCTGGAACTCCTGAGTTCCAGCACGTGGGACCCTGAAATGCCGGCCTGGCGCTCAGGGGCACGGGGCTCTGCCCAACACAGGCCCAAGCACTTGCCGCTGGTCCAGGAATCCACCCATAGAGCTCTGGGTGGGGACCTGGGACCGCCTCCTTCTCATAACCCCCACACACCTGGGATCCTCAATATTTGACCCTCGTTTCACCAAGGGAAACTGAGACCTGGGCGACCTTGGGTGGTATCAGGTGTGGCATCTCCTGCCCTCCTGCCTATCTGCCCTCTAGAAGCTGAGCCCTTAAAAGCTGAGCCCAAGAAAACAGAAGCCTGCAGGGGGCGCTCTTGGAAGCACACGCAGATTCTCAGGTCATTTGAGGTCACTGTCTGCTCCCACATCAGAGCTGGGCTGCCCCGCAAACACACAGATCCTGGTCACAGCGGAGTCCTGAGCAGCGAGGGTGAGCAGGAGGAAGCCTGAGCCCTCCTCATCCCTCCAGCCTTGCGGGTGGGTGAGAGAAGTTGGAACAGGGGCCATGGAAGCCACAGAACAGGTTCTCCTCCACACCCCTAAGAAGGGGCTGGCTCCAGGCAGCCTGTAGGACCCCCTAGACCTGTGAGCCTCTCTCTGGTTCCAGTGAACCCGCCTCTCCCATTCTTCCTCTCAGCCAGGTTGGTTTGGTCTGAAGGCAAATCCCCAGGGGAGGAAATACCTGGTTTGAAAGAGGCAACTGAGACCCTGAGGCACCTGTCAGCATCAAACAGGCCTTTGCAAAGCGGCCTTTTGATGAGCTAAGTGTAAACAAAGCGCCATATGGACTGAATTCCCCATCCCCAGGGGCTTGACAGTGAAGACCTGCCCTTTCCTGCCTGGTTGGAGGCAGCTGGGAGCGCCCCTGATCCCCAAGTCCAGGACCCAGGCCCCTTTCCCCTCAGGGGCCCAGCCCCACTGACCCCCATCCTAGTCTGGACAGAGCCACCAGACCCAAGGAACTAGCTCAGCCATGTCCAGGATGGTCCAGGTGACCTTGATCATGACCAGTAGCTCTGCAGGCTCCTGTGCCTTCCTCCTGGTGCCAGTGGTGGGTATCTGCATCCACCCTGTGAGCAGAGACACCATGGGGCAGTGGCCAGTGCTGGGGCTTATCTGGTGGCCCTCCTTTTAGGGGTAAGAGGCACACACATGCGCTGAATTCAGGAGACAGCCCTTTCGAGTCCAGTGTTCCCACAAATCCTTCCCTGAGACACCCACTGGCTTTGTAGACAAAAATAGCCAGGAGCCTTCCTCCCTGCCTCCCTCCTCTGGCCCCATGCATCGTGTGTCTGCCTTTGGGGGTGGTGGGAGGGAACAGTGGCCAGGGGCCGGTGGTCACAGCCCGGGTGTGCTGGCCGTGTTCACGCAGGAGTTTGCTCACAGCTTTCACTTTTCTCACCCAAAATTAGGACAGCTTTTCAGCTCAGTCTGCCTGAGCTTGTCCCCCCAGGGGAAGCATATCTGGTTTCATAATTGAGGTCAGTGGGGAAATGGGCTTCCCTGGCAGCTGTTTAGGGGGTGGGAGTGCAGCCATCTCAGTTGGGGAGGGACAGCAGGGTGCCTCCGCCTAGAGCCTCTGCTACCCAGCTGAGAGGCTCTGGGCTGCCCCAGGGGGGACTGAGAGGTCACATGGGGCCAGGCCGGCTCTCATCCCTCTGCTGTGGCTTCCGGTCTGATCCTGGCCCCCATGGCGAGAGGACAGCCCTGGTGGGGGGCTCACTGTCAGCACGAGTGCCATGGGCAGCCTCAGTCAAGGCTTTCAGCTAGCATCAAGGCCAGGGAGCCCTGGAATCAGCCACTAGGAGAGAGTGAGGTTGACGTGTCAGACAGGGGGGTGGGAGCAGAGACTTTTTTAGGTGTTGGTAAAAAGGGCCTTCCCTCCTGTTCACTCCCTGCCTATCTGTCCGTCCACAGAACAACTCGTGGGGGAAGCAGTACTCCTACGCTCTGTTCAAGGCCATGAGCCACATGCTCTGTATCGGGTACGGACGGCAGGCGCCCGTGGGCATGTCCGACGTCTGGCTGACCATGCTCAGCATGATTGTGGGCGCCACCTGCTATGCCATGTTCATCGGCCATGCCACTGCCCTCATCCAGTCCCTGGACTCCTCCCGGCGCCAGTACCAGGAAAAGGTAAGTCAGGGTGCCGTAGGGCCGCCAGGGCTCTCTCAGGAGGACCTGCGCAGTGGTGCTTCCCAAGAGGGCGCACAGGTTGCCAGAGCCAGTGGGCTTCCCCCACCCTCCAGTGTCCAGCCCTGTGATCAGGACTCCCGGGGTGAGAGCAGAGGGAGGATTGCTGGAGTCCAGGAGGTCAAGGCTGCAGTAAGCTATGATTGTGCTGCTGCACTCCATCCTGGACACAAACAGAGCAAGACCCTATCTCTAAAAAATTAAATTTTAGAAAACCCAACAGCCCGCTTCTCTGCATGAGACCTCTTGGATGAGAGTGGACTTCAGCTCCCTGGCCTTGAGTCTAGGAGTGTCTTTTGGTCTGTGCCTGCCTTTCCTGCCCCTGGGTGTCCCAGGAGCCCATCTCTCCTGACCGAGGGGGCCAGTGCCCTCCATGTTGCTAATCCGTGCTGCCATTGGTGCTTTGGCAGCCGCCCATTACCCGGTGTCCCTTCCTGGCTGCTCCCCTGGTCTCCAGGACCACACACTCTCTGTCTACCTCCTGCCTCTCTGGCCAGTCCCTTGGCTACTTCTCTTTCCAGTCACCAGGTGTAGGAGTCCCTGACAGCTGGACCAAATTCTCAGACCCTCCATCTGCCAAGTCTTCCTAGGTGTGACGGTTTTGTCACCCACCCCCGCAGGCCATGTCCATCTGTGTGTAGCGAGTCCCACATGGTTACAGCTGCTACACCTCACTTCTCAGCTCCTAGCTGTTTATTTGATGCCTCCCTGGACACCTCAGACTCCTCTTGTCCACGATTAGAACAGTCTGTCCTCTCCACTCCAAGCCTCCACTCTTCCCCATCTCGTGAGGGACTCCAATGGCCCAGTCACCCAAGCCAGAGACGAAGAGCCACCCTTGACCTCTCTGCTGTCAGTGCCTACCTCAAAACTACAGCCAGGCATGATCACGCACACCTGTAGTCCCAGCTACTCAGGAGGACCGCTTGAGGTGGGAGGATCGCTTGAGGTGGGAGGACTGCTTGAGCCCAGGAATTCAAGGATGCATTGAGCTATGATCATACAACTGCACTCTAGCATGAGTGACACAGCGAGATCCTGTCTATAAAAAAATTAAAATTAAAACAAAAAACAGACGGGAGGTGATGGTTCATGCCTGTAATCCCAGCATTTTGGGAGGCTGAGGTGGTAGGACTGCTTGAGCCCAGGAGTTCGAGACTAGCCTAGATAACATAGTGAGAACTTGTCTCTACAAAAAGTAAAATTTTTAAAATTAGCCAGGCCTGGTGGAACATACCTGTAGTCTGAGGCTGAGGTAGAAGGATCACCTGAGCCCAGGAAGTTGAGGCTGTAGTGAGCCATGATCATGCTACTGCATTCCAGCCTGAATGACAGAGTGGGACCCTGACTCAAAAATAAAATAAAATAAAATAACACACACACACCAGCTGCCTTCTCTGCATCCCAGCAGGCCTCCATCCACTCTAATCATCAGCTTCTCCCCACCTCAGGGTCACGATAGTGGCTCCCTGGCCACAGTGACTGGGTGCTGTGTCCTGGAGTCGGGCCGCTTGGGTCCTCACCCCAGCCTCTCTGCTGTCAGCCCTGTGAGTGTGGGTATGTGCCTACACAGCTTGGTACCCATGTCCTTGTCTGCAGCATGGGGACGACATAAGGCGTTACACCATGGGGTTATGAGCAGCAAGTGGTATGGGGTAAACCATTCTGTGTTTATTAGTGAAGCAGGCCCCACCTGGCCACCGTCACACCATTCTCACATAGTGACTAGAGTGGCATTTAAGCATGCGTCAACCAGATCGCCTCGCGCCTCTGCTTAAAACTCTTCAGAGACTATGCTGCTCCTAAGACGTCATTGACCTCCTAGGCGCGTTCTCCCAGCCTGGCCTCAGAGGGGCGTGACCCAGGCCCTGCCCACTGACTCTTAGCTGGTGCCCTGACCCCGTGGCCTTCATTCCTGCCTGGGCAGACATCTCTCCTCATGCCCCACCTGCCAGAGGGCCTTGACACTGGCTCTCACCCATGACTCCCCTGCCTTCTCTTCTTCACCTGAGTCTCCATGTCTCAGCCAACATAACCCCACCTTGGGGAAGCCTTCTGTGACCCAGCCAGTGCCCTACTTGTCATGTGTCCCCTCATTCTCCCTCGCCACACTCTGTCATGCCATAGTTATTCATTCAATGTGTAGCAGTTTGTTGAATGCCTGTCTTCCCCATCCAGGCCGTGGCTCCTGAGGGCAGGACCAGGCATGTTCTCCATTGTATTTTGGGGCCTGCATATAGTAGGGCCGGTGTTTACAGATTCCTGGACTGCCTGCCTGCCCCAGGCGCTGTTCCCTGGTGGTGACTGATAGCCTTCAGTATGGAGGCCCAGGTCCCATGATGCCAGGAGGATAGCTCGGGAGACCTGCAGAGCTGGGGAGTGGGGAGGGCTCACTCTGGGAGGCAGAGGAAGAAGAAGGTAAGAAGGCAGAAGAGAATTCTAGCCCAGTCGTCATGGTAAGCACAGGTGTGTCGAGGGCGGGAAGGAAATCAGACTGGTGGAACATACATGCTGGGTTATGAGTGGGCAGGCTGGGAAAGGAGGGAGAAGAGAAGAGTCAGGTTTGTGAAGGTCTGGCCTGAACACATGTCCAGGTGAGGGATCAATCTGGGGCCCAGCCTGTGAGCAGGGTCGGGGCTCCATGTGTGCCCAGGATCAGGGCTTAGTGTGTGACCACACTAGGGCTCAGCATGTGACCAGGATCAGGACTCAGTGTGTGACCAGAATCAAGGCCCAGTGTGTGACCAGAATCAGGGTTCAGTGTATGACCAGGGTCAGGGCTCAGTGTATGACAAGGATCAGGGCTCAGTGTGTGACCAGGCCAGGACTCTGTGTGTGACCGGGATCAGGGCTCATATGTGACCAGGCCAGGGCTCAGTGTGTGACCAGGATCAGGGCCCAGTGTGTGACCAGAATCAGGGCTCTGTGTGTGACCAGGATCAGGGCTCAGTATGTGACCAGGCCAGGGCTCAGTGTGTGACCAGGGTCAGGGCCCAGTGTGTGACCTGAATCAGGGTTCAGTGTGTGACCAGGGTCATGGCTCAGTGAGTGACAAGGATCAGGGCTCTGTGTGTGACCAGGATTAGAGCTCAATGTGTGACCAGGCCAGGGCCCCATGTGTGACCAGGATCAGGACTCAGTGTGTGACCAGGACTCAGGGCTCCATGTGTGACCAGGATCAGAGCTCCGCGTGTGACCAAGATGAGGGCTCAGTGTGTTACCAGGGTCAGGGCTCAGTGTAACCAGGGTCGGGATTCAGTGTGTCACCCAGGTCAAGACAGCATGTGACCAGGATCAGGGTTCAATGTCTTACCAGAGTCAGGGCTCAGTGTGTGACCAAGGTCAAAACTGTGACCAGGGTCAGGTTTCAGTGTGTGACCAAGGTCAGGGCTCAGTAGGTGATCAGGATCAGGGCTCAATGGGTGACAAGGGTCAGAGCTCAGTGTATGACCAGGATTAAGGTTCAGCGTTTGAACAGGTTGGGGCTCAATGTGTGACCAAGGTCGGGGTTCAGTTTGTGGTAAGGGTTGGGGCTCAATGTGTGACCAGGATCAGGTCTCAGTCTGAAGCCAGATTGGGGACTTAGTCTGGGACCAGGATCAGGAACTAATTTAGAAAAAGCATCAGCCTTTATTTTAGGGCCAGAGTCAAGGTACCGTGACTTCCCACTTGAGACCTTTTTATTTTATCCTTTGACAGATAGCTCAGGTCTTCCTGGTTCACCCATAAACCTCTCTCCTTAAACGTCTTGCCTCCCCCATGGATCATTCAGCATTCTGGAACATTCAGCAACCTTTAACCCCTGCCCTGTGCCCATACCTTGCCTCCCCCCACGTGTTCTATGTGGAGCGGAATCTCTCAAACACAGCACCTTCTGTCCCTGCTGCCTCTGCCACCATCGTCCACCAGGAAGTCAGTGCCCCCCTGGACTTAGCATAACTTAGAGCCAACAGAAGCCAGGTTGACTGGAAGAACTTTAGGATATGTCACCCCAGCCCGCAGGGGCCCGTTGGCACCACTGCAGCAGCACTGTGACCCCTCCTGCACCCCTCCCCTCCCCCCCACTACTCCAGATCAGGATCCCTATTTCTGATGGTTCTTGGGGCATAGGGCCTTCCCCTGCCTCCTGCCTGGGAAAGGTCTGTTACTGCCTCATCCTGTCTCTAGTTCTAGTTCTGCTCCCCCCAACCCTGCCCTGTCCACCCACAGTCCAGGATGGCGGGAGCAATGGCCACCCCTCAGAGAGGGCAGGATCTGTTCTTACTTGCTTTGAGCTCCAAGGACTTAAGTTCACAGATCTCTTGTGCCCAAACCTCGACTTGAAGATCCCTTCAAATAAGGTTACGCAGCTCTTCCCTTGGGCTGATGTTGCTCCCGGCACTCTGGCTCAGGATCTCAACTGGGACCACGAGAGGATAAGTCCTGTGGGATGGACCAGACCTCTTTGCTCTACCTCCAACTCTTCTGAGCCACTGCAGCCCGATCCTACTGACTGTGCCATTATGTTCCCATTGGTAGGAGATGGCACATCCCTCCCAGAGTCAGCGAGGCCCCTCTGTCCCCCGAGGAAACGTGACCCACCTCCTGGTCTGTTGGAGTCCTATAACTGGGCTTTGGACATTCCCTATGTTCCCAGGTGCCCCTTCAGTTATTTATTTATTTTTGAGCCGGACTCTCGCTCTGTTGCTCAGGCAGTGGCAAGATCACAGCTCCTGCAGCCTCAATCTGCTGGGCTCAGGTGATCCTTCTGCCTCAGCCTTCCAAGTAGCTGGGACTACAGCTGCGTGACACCACACCTGGCTAGTTTTTTGATTTACTGTAGAGATGAGGTCTCACCACGTTGCCAAGGCTGGTCTTGAACCCCTGGGCTTAGGAAATCCTCGCCTCCGCCTCCCAAAGTGCCACAGTGCCTGGCCTCATCGCCTTAATATTGAACACAGTGAGGACCAGATGTTGTTGGAGCCCCCTGACCCCAAGCATCTGGGAGTCAGGGCCCTTTTTTGGAACAGAGGGGTCACCCCCACCCCAAGGACTTCAGATCTCAAGGAAGCAAGGTTGGCCAAGAAAGCCCCGGGGTTGGTGCCTGGCTCTGGTCACTCGCAGGACCAAGGCGGGAGTGGCGCCTGCAGGGGCCAGGGGCAGCTGCTCGGAGTTGACCCTCTCCCTCTGTCCCCACCACAGTATAAGCAGGTGGAGCAGTACATGTCCTTCCACAAGCTGCCACCCGACACGCGGCAGCGCATCCATGACTACTACGAGCACCGCTACCAGGGCAAGATGTTTGACGAGGAGAGCATCCTGGGGGAGCTGAGTGAGCCACTGCGGGAGGTAAGTTGCAGGGGCGGTGGGGAGTGGGTGAGGGGGACCCGGCCTCCTGGCAGCTGCTCCCCTCACTCCCTCCTTCCCGGTTCCAGGAGATCATCAACTTCAACTGCCGGAAGCTGGTGGCCTCCATGCCACTGTTTGCCAACGCAGACCCCAACTTCGTGACGTCCATGCTGACCAAGTTGCGCTTCGAGGTCTTCCAGCCTGGGGACTACATCATCCGCGAGGGCACCATTGGGAAGAAGATGTACTTCATCCAGCACGGCGTGGTCAGCGTGCTCACCAAGGGCAACAAGGAGACCAAGCTGGCCGACGGCTCCTATTTTGGAGGTGAGGCAGCGCCAGGGACCCTGGGGGACGGGGGGTCTTGGAGGCCACTGAGGAGGACAGAGGCACTGATGGTCCTTCATGGCCAGAGCCAGGAGGTGTCTGTGAGCCCAGTGTGAGGTGTCTCCATCAGGCCTCGCTGCTGTAACAAGTACTACAGCCTCAGGGCTCATGAGCAACAAACACTGATGTCTCGCAGTCCTGGAGGCTGGAAGTCTGAGTCCAGGGTTTTGGTGAGGGCCTTCTCACTGCATCCTCACATGGTGGAAAGAGAGGGAGCTAGTCCCTCGTCCCTTCTTTTTTAACAACTATATGTATTCACTTATTTATATTTCTTTTTTGTTTTAAGAGACGGTCTCACTCTGTCACCCAGACCAGAGTGCAGTGGTGCAATCACAGCCCACTGCAGCCTCAAACTTTTAGGCTCAAGCAGTCCTCCTGTCCCAGCCTCCCAAGTAGCTAGAGCTGACAAGTTTTTAAAAATAAAAAAAAAAGGTTTGCTGTGTTGCCCAGACTGATCTCAAACTCCTGGCCTCAAGCAATCCTCCCACCTCAGCCTCCCAAAATTCGGGGATTAGGGTTGTGAGCCACAACCCCCAACCTCCTGGCCTCCTATAAGGGCACTCATTCCGTTCAGGAGGGCTTCACCCTCATGGCCTGATTACCTCCC